ATCTGAATGTGAAATAGAGTGGCAGCAGCTTGCCCAAGTTCAGCTTGAGTTTGACTTCTCAAGAGGGCAGGGGGACACAGGAAGCCCCCAGTCCCAGCTCTGCTCTGATCCACAGCAGCCGCTCGCACCGAGCCCTGCTATCTGAACGGGTGTCAAGCAATGCAGGTTGCAGTGCAGGTTTAACACCAGTCTCCCATTTCCTGTGTTCTATCGACAGGCTGCATTTCCGTACACTTCTCATAAGCTGAGCTCCATAATACCCACATGTTAAAAGAAACTTCTGTGCCTGAAAAGCAAAGCTTCCACAATTGCAGACTCTGTAAATGCATATATCAAATGTCACTTTTCAAAACCACTTTATAATAGAGGATTTATTTTGCTTTCTTTGGCAGCGTTCTGCTTTCTGGATGCACTACAGGAGTTTGCTTTCACCTGTGCGGCATTTTGAGGACAAGCCAGAGCTAAAACACTTGGCCATGTCCTCTCAAAACCACAGAAACCAACTTTGTGTTACACAAGCTCCAAGTTAATCCATTGGACTCCCTTCCACAGCAAAGCCAGCAGCCACACTGGGAGCAGGGTGACAATTTGGAATCCTCACTGCAGCTGAGTTCTTTCCAGAAGACACCAACACAACACAAATTCTGCAAAGTTCTCTTTCAACCCGCTTTAACATCCCTTCAGAGCCACGTTCAGTTGATTACAACCTTCTTTCAGCATTTACTTAAAATTTAGAGAAACCTCTTAAAAAAAAAAAAAAGCCACTAGCCAGACTTCAAGTTTGTCTACTGCCCCCATTTTTCACCCAAATTAACAGTACAAACCTATGCAGAAATACTGAAAATGTTTATTGTAGATCCGGTGGCCACGGCCGCTTTAGCAGAAGTAGGATAAATCATTCTATGGCTCCTGTTTTGGAGGAGATACCCACGAAGTGACTTCCTAGAGAAGGTCCTCAGGCAGATTCAGTTTTCATACTTCTGCAATACTCAGGTCACCAATTTTAACCCATGTGGTTACTGCAGGTTTAGTGCTTCTAACCCTTTAGGAGTGCTGTAACAAACATGGCAACATCTTCTAGGCACCAAAACACATCATCAGTCACAATCTACATACTCAGAATCCCTGTGTCTGCCAAACTACAACTTCACCCTCACTGAACAGACAACTGTTTCTGCTCCTCTGCCTTCCTTCATTTTACTCACTGACTTTCTCCATCAGACTTTGATCACTCAATCTAGAGGCCACAACCTTGACCTCTTCTATAATCTCAGGCAGCCAATTTTGAAGAACGAAGCCTTTCTGCTCAAATTAAAGACAGACCACGCTTTAGGAAGATAATCATCTTGGAAACAAAGCAGACTGCCTCCACAGCAGCAGGGAAGCCCATGACAGCCTGTTTGCATTACTGGGTTGAAATTCCTCGCTCAGTGAAATGGATTCAAGGCTCCTCTCCAGGCAAGGCAATAAATTTAGCTATTGAGAACAGCCACAACTCGAGCCAGATCCTATTTCAGGGCCATTCTAGGAGGCACAGCACCAGCAGAGAGGCTTGCACTACTCTCCAACCCCATTCCTGTAAAAAAAAAAAAGTTGTTAATATTAGAAGTTGGGACTTAAACTGCATATACTGTCCATTCGAGAAAAAAATAAACCAGTTAATTTTTATAACAATTCTAGGCAAATAATTATGAGTGACAGCTCTTACAAATTAGAGACAAACATAGTCGAGTTTCCTAGATGACAAAGTTCCAACTGGGGTCTGAATACAGAAGAAGATTTAAAGCAATTCTGTCCTAATGGAGAAAGGCACAACTCAGTGAGCAGTCTTTGACAAGCCCGATAGTTTCTCAACATCTGGTTATAAATAAAACTTTACAATTAAGTGCTTCCAGTTGTTACTGTCCCTGTCCACTGAGTATTTACTGCACCTCTACTGTTTTATACCATTACAAAGCTTTAACTCAAGTTCTTCCTGTATTCCTACTTCCAAAAAATCAAACAGAAAGAACCCCAATGCACATTAGGCCATAAAGGTAATGTGGTTTCTCTTTCAAAAGTGCATTTTGTTCTGAAGACACTGTCATATAAATACTTTCTGAAGGTGCTGTGGTGAGGGATTAAAATTCTAACTGCTTCAATCCAGCCAGGGTGAAATCAAGCAGCAGTCATGTGTTTGTTCCCAAGTAAAATCTCTTGTGTCAAGTTGTAAAAAATAAGCAGCAAAAAAAAAAAAAAAAAAAAAAGTTAGGATATAGAAGAATAGTTTTCTCACCTGGTCAAATCCCAGCAAGTTTTCCATGCCTTTCTTTTTTCCCTTTAAGTATTACAATACAAATTTGTCATGCTGAGTGCACTCAAATACTTAACAGTACTGTGGAAATTCCCAAACGTCAGGTTATTGATATGAGTTAAAATTGCATAAAACACCCTCATTAAAAAATCTTTATTAAAATACTATATATTTAACTGCACAATATTTACATTTAAATGGTGGGTTTTTGCCCACCCATGTAAGACCAAGCAAGCAACCTTTTCTCCCACACAATACTTATACCTAAAATTAGATGGATAACATTTTGATATAGAAAATAGTTGGCAATAAGCAATCTAATCACACAATCATTAAGGTTGGGAAAGATCTCTGTGACCATTAAGCCCAGTTTGATGATAACACAGTCATTGCACACTGACATGGACATCGCTGCTGCCAGGACGAGCATTCCCACCACGCTCCAGTAGTGCCCACAGCACCCCCAGGAACTTGGCCCACTTAAAGCAACCCCACCTGGGATGCATCACAGCAGCAGCCTGCAGCCTCATCTCTCGCAGACAGCTCTGTAGAGCTGCTCTCTCTGCCCTTGCAGCAGTCTGGGCTTGAGCCAGCTGCAATCAGCAGGAAATTACACTGAGATAAGGGCAATGGTTGGACTGCTGCCTCAGGTGCTTCCCTTCAGAGTTCCTCCTTCCTGAGTACTTCCTAAAGCAGCCCCATCTCGTGTCCTGGTCCTCCATCCACCCATCTAGCCACTCCTGCATCCCAAGCCAGCAGCCCCACGCTGATGGGTCAGGGCCACATCCCACACAGCTCATCCTCTGCTGCTGCTCCCCACAGGCAAAGGGCAGGGGAGTGGCACCTGCTCAGGCTTCGAAGGCAGAGGTGAAGTTTGTCCCCTTAGCAAGGAGCTGCTTAAACAGCCACTGCTGTGAAAGCACAGCCTGAGGTCAGCTCTGCCTCTAGAGTGAGGTGCAGCCAATGGGCACCACCAAGAGCTGTGCCCTCAGGCTGCTGCTCTCCCCATCCAGCACCACCACAGATCCAGCTGAAAAATGACCTGCTTGACAGAAAAGATGTTTCTCAGCCAGACCAACTTCATCATAGTGGTCACAGCTGCAAGCACAGAGCTGGGAACAAACAGACAGGAGCACAGGGGCACTGTACTGAGCCACCACTGCATCTCAACAAATACGAAGCACAGCTGGTGGGCAACATTTCAGTGGGTAACAGAACAGCTCTGTGATTTCCTACATGTGAGTTTGGCAGCTTTTCATTTCAGACAAGGACTGTCTCCCTTGCCAGATGACCAGCAGACTGGAGAACCCCTTCAAAAGTAAAGAGAAAAAGCAAGTTTGATTTCTTCAGCCAGCATTCAGACTGCTACAGAATAAGCAAATTGCCCACACGCTCGAAACATTTCAAAATTCTCATTTTATTTAATCAGAAATTCTGCATTATCAATCATTAGAAGGGATAGGAAGCAGTACTACCTTCCACAAACACGAAATGCTTTCAGCACAGACAGCCTCATCCTTGTACTGCATATTTACCCTACCATAACGAAACGCAATGAACCGCTAAAAAAATCTGCCTTTTCTTCTGCATATTTGTTTGGTTGTCGGGACTTTGGCAGGGTGTTCCAGCCACATATTACATTGCATAAGTGTCAAAAAAATGGAATCCAAAATGAGCACTTCAAAGGTAACACTGCTCTTAATTTAACACCCTGTCCAGACAGGCCTATTTTAAGTGCAGGGATTCGCAGAGCTGGCAAGTGAAAGCCTCTGAAAAGGAACCAAACTGAATCAACAAAAAAGGCAAAACAAGGAAATAAAGAAAATGCAGAAGAGTGAAGCAGGAATAGAAAGTAACAATGTGAAAAGGAATTGGAAGCTTTGAAACAACAGTAAAAAAAAAGTCTCGGAGAATTCTGCTCCATGCTCACCATCTTCCAGTGAAACCTTTGCACAGATTTGCTGATTAACAATTAACAGCGGAATCCTTTACTGTGTTTCACCAAGCAGCAAACCAGCCTCTAACTGAGCCGAGGCTCTGAAGATTAGCCTGCAATTGAGACTGCTCATCCAGTTGCAGGGTTTTACAGCACTGGATGTCCAAGTGTTTGCACACTGCCTAGATGCAGTACATACGAGGCCACAGTAATGCAGGTAACACAGATGTGCGCCATTACACCCCGCCATGTGCTGCACACCATGGCTTTTGCTGTTCTGCCACGAAACTGAAAGGTAACCATCACAAAGTTTCTGAGAAGGAAACACGAGCCTCTAAGAGCCCAGTAGAGATTTATTAACACTTAACACACACATTCAGACTTCCTGTTACAAAACCAGGATTACCTTATCCCTGTGCTCCGTTCCTACAAAAAAAAAAAAAAACCATCAAGAGTTCAGAACACTTAATCTGCATTCAAAATCAGCTTACAGAGGACAAATCAGCTCAATGTTCAACCGAAACAACCCTGCAGCAGCTTAGCTTGTGTGTTTCTTTCCCCTGCAGAAATGAAGGGATGGCAGAACACTAGTATTGGAAAATAGCTATATGGAAAATAGCTTGTAATCAGTTGGATTAGCGTTTCCTATGGACTGCTTGATAACTGGTTCATTCCACAAAGCTGGCATCTGAGTAAGCTGCTGCGCTTTCCCAATCTATGTAACAGCTACAGCCTTCAAAGGCGCATGGACAGCAACTTATCCTCTAAAAAAGAGGGCCAACCTCTTAACTTAATTCTCCTGTCACTAGCTAAACTGACATGTTTTTTCTGTATCCTTAACCCTGTTACCAAGAAGGTACAAGCCACAAGTGGCATGCTCCAACAGCTTTAATGTTTTCTTTAAAGCTGAGCTGAAGAAGTTATCAGCTTTCCTTGCAATAATTTTCACTCTGGAAGTATCACTGGAATCTTGAGAAATACACAACATGGCCAAAGAGCATCTTTACACAAATATCTTTATCAAGTGATTTCTGGTGCAGGACAACCCGTAAGACTGAAGGGAAAATCTCCTCCTGCATTGACCCTTCTCACTTGGAACTGACTCAGATATTCTGCACACTCTGCCCAGCAGACCCCTCTGCTCCTTGATTCACTCTGCTGCAGTCACTCCAGGATGTTCCTGTCATTTTGCAATGCAATTAAGTGCACAAGAAAACAATCTATGTCAAGGAAAAAAGGCTCCTCCTCACTTAAGAGAAGAACTTGTGACCTCACCCAGCTGGCTTGTAGTTACGAACACCAGCTTCCTGTTCAGACAGCAGGACTGTCCAAGCACAAGATGCACTACTATTCTAACATGCTTTTATCAGCAATGGAATAATGATTACAAGCCCAAATATCTACATTTGGTTCCTAAGGAATACATTTTAAAATACTTTAAGTCAACAAAGCACCATTGCAGGTTAAAAGGATACTTGGAAGTTCCCAATTCTTCCTTGTCTAGACACCCAGAGCTGCTGTAAGCACACCAGTGTTGCTGAGGATCAAATTCAGCCTTGCTTTCAGGACTGGTACGTGCAGCAATCAAGCAGCCTTGAAAAATGAGGTAATCAAGCACATTAATCTGGTAAAAATCACTCAGTATGTCATCGCTGACTGCTGTAAAGCTATTTGGTCTGAGTTGCAGGACATCAACCACAACTTACCCAATTTAGCTTGTACTGTTCAACTCCCATGGGCTTAGAGCAGAGCTGCGCTGTGGCAAACAGGGACAGCTAATTCGTGTGGAATGGAAGGCAGCAGAGCAGGCAGGAGGTTCTCCTGAAGATGCTACTTTTATCAAGCCACATAATCTTTTTCTGGAAAGCACACAGTGCTAGGAAACGTCTAATACACCAAGATACTTTTTTTACTTGACCATATCCTAAAGAGATCTTATGTGTTGGGCTTTAATTAGCTAACACAATGATCTCTAATCTGAACAGTTCTGTTACAGATCCATTAGTATTAACATATCTAAAAATACCATGCAAGTATTTAAGAAATGCATTTGCTTTCATAAATCCCAAGCGTATCACATTACCACATCATGTGGAAGCAGCTTGTTAGATCCCTTCTAGCTAATTTAGCAACTTCAATCATCACTATTTTAGGATTTCAGCTCTGGGTATAACCTGAACTAAAAATTATTTGCTCTAAGAGCCACCACCAGACCAAGTTAGAACTAAGGAATCACAGCACTGTCCACAAAGGGGCTAAATCTGAGATGTTTGTATAAAGATGTGCCACAGGCACCAGCCCGGAGACAGCCCTGGCCCCAGATGCAGCATTGTGCTCAAGCAGATTCCACGAACTTTCTGTTATGTCAGATACCAAAACCTCCTCCTCAGGCACACCTGATATCAGCACTGGTTCCCTCCAGCACTTCACAGGCACAGGGATACCCCAGGCTGTTTACACACCATAACAGAAGCGCAGCATGCCAGAATTGGCAAAATCATCACTGTGCTCCCAAAGCCCGTGAATCAACGAGAGAAATAGCTGCACTGGAAAGCTTACACTTGATTCATTTCTTTAAGGCAACATAAAACCATGCTCTCCTCAGGCAAGTGCTCTGTTTGGCCTTGCCACGCATCCCTGCCCTGGGGGCACTCAGGCAGCACATCACAGTCGGAGGTGATTCGGCTCCAGCTGAGCCCACGGACCTGGCTGCCTTTTGTCATTAATATTTTATCAGTCCTCTGATCTGTTTCAGCAAGCAGCAGCATGATGATCACAGCTACATGAGATGGGAGCAGGCAGCTGGAGGCACACAAAATTGCCACTAAGAATTATCAAATCCCTGAGTTTTGAGTCCTGTTATTTCTTTTCCTGTAACAAAAATCTCAAGCATTTACCCACTGCCCACCCGCCAGCCAACAGGCAAGCCTGCCCCTGCATTATGCAATGCTTTTTTCTTCTAACAGCCTCCAGACAGTTCTCTGCTAGAAGGCACAAAACTTGAAGATACCTTCAAGACACCAAAATTAAACTAGAATGACACAGCGGTGAAGAGTGAAAGACTTTCTGCTTCCACGAAGGGGAAACAAAGTAACTTGAAGATACCTGCCGTAGAAACACTTGAAGCTGTACCAGTGTATTTGCAACTTCCATTGATAAGTAGAACAAGGAGCAGAGCCAAACTGGAAACTTGGTAGCTGCAGGTTTTCCTATAATTGGGAATTTTACAAAAAAAGCAGCTGAAGAGCTGCGCACTGTGCTACATTGTGTCAGTGTTTTCTAAGGAGTGCAGGAAACATAAACACGTAGATACCAAGAAACTTTTGTTGATACAGAATAGGATGAGAAGCAGGCTGAAGGGCTGCCTGTGAGCCAGTTGCACACTTCCTTCTCAGATTAAGAAATTCTACAATACAGCATTTCCAAGTTTTGCAGTCTGAAGCTGATGGAGCAAAGGATGCAGAGCTACACGCGCTGCTGCAGCCCATGCAAGGCAGAGCTGCCTCTTGGACTCCTCAGGCAGGCAGATTTTTAGATAACGCATTCCTTCTGCTACTGGTGCTTTGACACTTACATGCCAATCAGTCCTGGACAGTTACACAAACCATGAAAGTCTGCACATGTTTGGGAAAATAGACCTTTTCTAATCCAATCTATTCAGACTCTTTAAACTTATCATTAAGTCATCTTCTAGAAAAGTCTAAGTTCATCTTCTGATTCCAAAGACCTCAAACTTCATTTGGAGATAAACAGGAAATGTTTAGCATGACTATTATAAACACTGAACCCAAGGATTTCTTTTTTTTTTTTTTGTAAGTGCTGAGACAACCACTAACCTACAGCAACGCCACAAGGTCAATTCTCCCCTGAATACATTTCAATGCCATTCACCAGTTTCTCAAATGTGTTTACCAATTGAAAGCATTTAATAAACTTTATCATACTAATTGAAAGAGCAAGAAGAACATTGAAGTAGCATCTCTTCAGCATGTGCAATTTTTTTATTTTTTTTTTAATAGCACTGTAGGGTTGATGTTATATTCAAAGTGCTTCAGAATTACTGGAGATGACAGAACTTATTTAACCATCAAGAGCTCAAAAAACAGCTGGTCTGCAAAGAACGACCAGATGAGCAGGACATAAAAGTTTCCTTAAGCAGTAATTCACAGAACACTGAAAAAAAGTTATGACCAGACACAATGAACAACACCAACATGGTGGAAAACTAACTTGGTCCACCTCGCTTTCCCACAAAGCATTAGCAGAGCACACCAAGTCTGAGCTGCTTACTGCGCAGTCACTCAGCACGTCACTTGAACATAACTTGCTTTAGTGCTGTGTGACAGGGACACCAATCCCAGCCCACTGCTCACAGACTGCCGAGTGCCTCGAACAGCTCCTATATATAGGCCAGCACGGCACCTTCCAAGCACAGCGTGAGCTATTAAAAAGTCCGTGCAAATGCTCCTGGCGAGCCACAGTAATGTCATGTGAACAGGGCCAGGAAAAACCTTCCTGTGCATAAGACATTGTATTCAAACAGTGGACAACCAGAGAAGAAGCTGCATTCAGTTTGTCTCTTGGTTTGCAGCCTCTTTCAGACTGTAATTAGCCAGAACTGCAGGTCCTGGTTTAAGCAGCACAATGTCCTGACAGGAGCATCCCTGATAGTAAAGGTGAGCGCACCATCCCGGCAGCCTAAAGAAGCCATCAAAGATCAAGATCCAAACTTTCCAGACCAGCTGTCTAGAATAATTTTTAATCTGTACAGTATGCTCTCAGTTGTACCTAGGAGATGAAAAAATTAATGAGAACACTAATGGCTGTGTCCCCAAAGGCAGAGAAGCCAAACTTGTGCAGAATTATTAAATGGTTTATCAAATGTCATTAATTACCAGCCTGTTTTTCTGTAACTAAACAGCAGGACACAAACACCTCTGAGGACTCATTTCTCATCAATTACTTGACTAAGGAGCCCAAATGCTTCTTAGTGCATCATTAAAAACCTTTAATGACAACATTTCTGAGCACTTATTTTTGTTAGAGAAGTAAAATATCTCTTGAGCTTCAAATCAAAGTCTGTCTCCTTTTGTTATTTTTACTTCATGCATTAATTAGAGCTTTGTCATCAGAAATGCTTGCTTGAACATCTGCATCATTTACAGATAAACTGTCAAATAAAAGAAATAAATGCTCAATGGCAGATTGAATACTTCTCTTGTTTAAGGCATGCAACAACATCCTCAAGATAATTGCTGTTGTATTTAATACCGCATCTACTAATTATCTTGGAATCCCGCTCCACTCAGATAATCCCCCCTTCAATTAGTTTCCTACGTATGTTTCATAATGCTATAGAATTCTACCCATGCAGACTCATAGGCTTCCCATAAATGCCATTCCTCTGCTCTAGTGAAATGCTGGACCATCTCTTCTTCCTCCTTATTCCTCACACTGAGGCATTACCTCTCTGATACCAAGTCACGCTGTGTGCCTTCAGAAGCCAGTCCTAAGAAAGGCTGCACCACTCACACATGCGACAAGCTGAATGGAACAAGCCATTGCTATTCTAGAGTTAAACATCCCCCCATTAAGGTATGAATGAAACCACGTGGTAAAGACATCACTGATGCACAGATGAAGTTTGCTGAACTCCCTGTAACACAAATCCTTATCCCAATTTTGAGGACAGAAGTTCAGAATGAGTGAGAAGAGCAGAATACTCCCCTTTCTAACACAACACCACAAAACCCCAAGTCATAGATTGCTCTGCAAAAGCAAGGGGTGGCACAGAAGGGCAGATGTCACAAACAAGGCCAGTAGCAGTAGGTGTTCTGCACAAGGCCCTGCAGTGCCACAGGTGAGCCAGCAAGAGGACATGACCAGCTGGTCCTGTCAGTGAGTTACAGCAGCACCAAGCTTGCTTACAAAATCCCAGCGCACCTGAAGGCAGTTTGCTTAAATTCAACCATACATACACAAAAACCACAGACAGAAAGCAATGCAATTCTGTTTTCAAAGTTACAAAATAGAAGTGATTCACCTCCTGCTTCTGGTACCCAGTGCCACAAATACTTTTATCTCTGCTAATACTATAAGTCATCATCATTCAGCAACGTTTTGCAGGCTCACCCCCCACAAGTCCTTCAGTGCTTATCAAACACACATAGTGCAGAACTGTCATAAACTGGAAAGCACAGCACTGCAAATGAAACCAATTACAAGCCTGTCACTGCTAAGAGCTTTTACTTTGGGAAATGAAATAAGACCCTGATGACTTTTGAATTCTCAGCTAGTACAAGTAATGCAAGGAGGCTTGCATGCTAAATATTCACCACTGGATTTTAATAGCACAACACCACTTGAAACAAAATGGTTCTCAGTGTAACTATTATTAAAGCTGTAAGTTAATATTCTTCTTCGCGTACTGCTTGCAGTAATTATGTTCAATTTCTTGATTCAGTGTCACAGTGCTGAGACATTTCCTTCTTCCTCCACTGGGAAAAACCACAGCAGTGCCTGCGAACAACACTTCTACAAATCAAAGCCTTCACTCAACTGTGTACTTTGACAGGCCTTGAAAGCAGCTCCTGCTTCAAGTACTGCCTGTATTCAAGTGAATACCTAATGCAAATGATTCATTTCTACAACATTTTATCTTGAAAGTGCGATATGAGCACTGTAATAAGCCAAAAACGTAAAGAAAGATAGGTTTAGATGAGAAGTAGTATTTGGCTGTGCACATGGAGGAAGAGACAGCAATCTGGGAACCATGCCAGTCTTCACTAAGCTTCCAGTTTTATAGCTCCCTTATGAACAGGTGATCACACTGGCAAAACCCAACACCAACCTCTCCAGTTCTGTTTCTTTCCCTCCCATCCCCAAGCCATGCCCATAAACGAAACCTCCTGGGTTTCACTGGAATTAACACAGATTTGCAGAGATGAAAGTTATTTCAGCTACATAAGCATTTTCCTTTAACTTGGAAAGACAAATATTCAGGTCAGCAGCAAATGAGTAAGGAGTCCCTAGAATTAGTAAGATCATGGCAAACAACCCCTAAAATGAGTCAATTCAAAGCATTTGCAAACATAAGACTATAATTTACATGCAAAAGAGGCAAAAAACACTGGTCAAAACTTTATGATCATCCTCACTTTTCAGAGTATTCTCACTTCTATTTAAATAGCTTGTATGTTTTTGGGAAAACAATCCATACCATTAGCTGAACGCTCTTAAGACATTGATTAAAACCACTTTATAAGCAAAGACAGACTCAATAAGAACGTGCTTGGATTTAATGCAACAGGAAAAGGAGAAATAGAGTTTAAACTGATTTCAAAGTAACTCCTAATGTTAAGCTTATAACGACAAATGAGTCAGGGTCAGTAGAAATAGCTTTTAATGAAAAGCAATTACAGGTGCCCCTTTGTGTTACAGTGACAGCAGGACACCTCACTGCTTGAGCAGAATAACACTCAGCAGCACCTGGCACAGACCAGAGCACCAATTCCACAGCCACACCCTGAGCACCAGCAGGGAAACAACAGACAGCCACAGCCACACGGCGGGGTGTCAGCTGCCATCAGTGGAGGGTCAGACAGAGGGAAGAGCTTCTGCTCCCAACCCATACGAGGCAACACATTGCTCTTGGAGTTAATTCTTATTTCCCCCCTCACACACACACACCACAAAGTGGACTGAGACATTCAGCCTGCTCAGCGCAACACAGATTACAGAAATTCCATTTGGAGCTGAACCAAACATGTGCAAACAGGAACCCAACAGTCACTTCAATAGCTTTAAAAAACAAAAAGGCTAATTCATGGAGAAATCGCTACGTGAAGCGGGAATGAAAGAACACAGAAGACTAGTTTAGAAGTTACGCTCTAATAGCAAAACAAACGCCTATTAAAGTCTACTGCTTCACCATTATTAGCTGACACACTTGACTTTTATATAAAGCAGGCCCCAAAGAAAATAGATGCTGTATTAATGTGTTACTGCAACAGAGCACACAAATATAAACACGGATCATTTGAAAGCATAAACTTTTGGATTAAGCTCTCATTAAAAGCTGAGAACAGTCCCTGAGATTAAAATGCACCGCTGCGGTTCGTTCCCATAGAAGCAGGCTGCAGGCCTCCTAGGCCCAGCCACGCCGACCTCACAGGCAGCGTCTCACACAAGTTTACTTTGCTCGCACAACGCGCGCCCTGCAGTCCTCTCAAGGGTGAAAAAGCGACGGAGCTGAAAAAAGCTGAACCAAAG